TAATGTCCATATGTCCGGGCTCTGTGGATATGTGCTCCACCCCGGTCTGCCCGTTTTGCATCACTTGCACCCCGTGAGGGATATCTGTTGACGCTCTGACCTCACATATTCCTGTCAGCGTTTCTTCCTCATCGCCCGGTCTCTCGTAAGGATTCCTTGATAAGGCGTCCGCATTGCCATTGGACCGCCCCGGGCGATATTTTATCTCCAGGTCAAAGAGTGCCAATTCTGCTGCCCATCGCTGTTCGATGGATCCCAACTTTGCTGTCTTTAGGTGACTGAGGGGGTTATTGTCAGTGTATACCACACATTTAGCACCTAATAGATAGTCCCTGAATTTTTCAGTCACAGCCCATTTTAATGTCAAAAGTTCTAGTTTCATGGCGCTGTAATTTGTCATGTTCTTCTCTGATTCCTTCAGAGCTCGACTGGCATACGCAATAACCCTGAAACTTTGCTCTTGTTGTTGTGATAGCACAGCTCCCAGACCTTTAGAGCTGGCGTCAATTTCTAGCCGAAATGGCTTGTTGAAGTCTGCGTATCCTAATATCGGCGCCTCTGTCAAAGCCTTTTTCAGTAGCTTAAACGAGTTCAGGCATTCCTCAGTCCATAATTCACCTATCAGTTGTGTTTTGCCTTTCTTTTTCTCCTTACTGTGTTTCTTTGTCATTTTGTTTACCAAGTCATGCAACGGTGCGGCAATTTTCGCAAAACCAGGTACAAATTTTCTATAATAGGAAGCAAAGCCCAAGAATGATCTGACCTCTACTGTGGTTGTTGGCTGTTTCCATTCTTTAACAGCTGCGATTTTATCTGGGTCAGTGGCGATGCCATCCGACGAAATCACATAACCCAAAAAACGTACCGATTTCAGACCGAAGCAGCATTTGTCTGGGTTCAGCTTTACTCCTATGTCTCTAAGACGGAGAAACACTTGTTCTAATCTTTCTAGATGGTCCTCCCAAGTTTTTGAGTAAACTAGTATATCATCCAAGTACACCAACATTATTTGAAATAGAAAGTCACTCATAGCACTCTGCATTACTCGCTGGAATGTAGCAGGCGCATTAGTTAGACCAAACGGCATACGGGTCCACTCGTACAGTCCTAGTGGAGAAATAAATGCAGTCTTATGTTGATCGTTGGGGTGCATGGCCACTTGGTGGTAGCCGCTAGCCAAATCCAAGGTAGAAAAAAATCTTGCTCCCCCCAACGCATCAAGACATTCATCAATACGAGGCAAGGGGAATGCATCCCTTCTTGTGATATTGTTCAATTTCCGGTAATCACAACACAGTCTTATCTCCCCTGACTTCTTTTTTACCACTACTATCGGTGCCGCATACGGGCTCGTGCTGGTTGTAATAATTCCCTTTTTTAGTAGATCGTTCAGGTGTGTTTTCACCGCAGAGTAGTGACTTGGTGGTAATCTTCGATAAGGTTGCGCCACAGGCTTGTCTTGTAGTAAGGGTATCTGGTGTTTTATTACTTCCGTGTAACCCAAATCACCCTCGTACGAGGCAAATATATCCCTGTACTTATTCAGTAATTCATTTAATTTTGGGTCCTCAGTTTCCGGGAATGTATATGATCGGCCATCCTCTTTCTTCACCTCGGCCGTCACATTGACCGACCTAATTGTTACTTCATTACTGCTGGTATTGATCAGTTCGATGCACTGTGCCGACCTTTGTACCTCGACGTTCTGTGGTACTCCTACCAGAGTGTTAGGTGGTATAAAAATTTCCTCATCCAATACATTTGCCACTAATCCTTGAACCAGTCCATTTTCCGCTGATGTGTATGTCCTCAGTAACACGACGCCTGCCCTCAGTGCGGCGCCACATGGTTCTATCATCACATCACCATTCACGCTTCTGTCACCAATTTGTAATGTGATTGCCTTGACCGTGTTTGCCGGGACTGATGTCCTTCCCCTGGTCTTGGCAAACCTGGCCAACTTTGATCCCCGACTTGGTGTGGGCGATCCGACAATATTTGTACGAAATTCTGGCAACTGGCCAAGGATATTCATGCCCAACAGGCAAGGTATATTTGACACATTTGTCTCTGGGTTGTGTTTCGTAACGAACACCCCAACCTGCTTCAACCTCTGTCCCGCTACCACGACATCCGCCAGAAAATAACCACAGTATGGAATGGTTAGTCCATTAGCTGCCGTCAGGCGCATGCATGTGTCAGACCTTAACCTATGGTCTTTTCCTTTCATCCATTTGGTGTAAAATTGTTCCGTAATTGTCGTCACCTGGGAGCCTGTATCCACAATTGCCTTCACCGCGATGTCCCCGATCGTAATCATCATTTCGGGACAGACTCCCATCATTTTGTTTCTTGGGCCATAACCTCGCCGCTCTGTAGCCTTGACCTGCCTTACAGAGTGCGATCGTTTCACCGGACAGTACCGTGCCATATGTCCGGGTTGTGAGCAGGACAAGCAAATTGGTCTACCGTCAGCCGTCCACCGGAGCTATGGACCGGCAGGTCGCGGCTGTCCAACCTGTCTCTGTTTTGTCCCGTTTTTGCCCTGATTCTCAGCTGTTGACCTGCTTTCTAACCTCTCCAATCGTTGGTCAACCTTATCCAGGTGGGCCAACAGTTGAGCCATCATGGTTTCCATCGTGCCGGTCCCTGTGGGTGGGGATTGTTTCTGTTCCGGCACAGAGACTTTGTCTACCGAACAGTTCGATTGGTCCTCATCCTCGGACCTGCGGATCGCTGAGTTCCTGACCTGAAGGAAGGTCAACTGTGGGTCTTTGTAGACCTCTTCCTTCAAATCTCTCCTTAAGATGGGGGTTGCTAGCCCCTCGATGAAATGGTCCCTCAGTAGGCGCACTTCAATGTCGGGTATTTTGCCCTTTACCGCATCAAAGGCCCTGTTCATTCGGTGTGAATATTCCATCACACTCTCCGCCATTCTCTGCTTTAATCCTACGAAACCCGATAGCAGTTGCGATCCCGACCGTCTCTCCCCAAAGGTCTCCATAATTAGATCCAGCACCTTATCTGGATCTGATTGGATGGTTTTATCGTGGCATTTGACCTCTGCCCTAACCGTCTCTCCTATACTGCCCATGAGCAGTCTTAATCTTTCCTCTGGTGACATGTCTCTCGAGGCCCAGGCCGCTTTGACCTCTTCACTGAACCTGTTGGTTAAAGTTGGATCACCGTCCCCGTAAAATTTGTTAATGTGGGACTCTCTGGGCAGGACCACAATATGGGTCTGCTTCTCGTCCAGAGTAGACATTCTAATTTTACTTTGAGTAGAAAAAAAAAAACAACCTTTCCTACCGTGTATGTGTGAATAATTTTCCTCGTTCCTCAATTTTCACTGTTCCTGAATGTCCGAATTCACACACACGAAACACAGTTATGAACTAGGTTGACTATGGGTGCCTAAAGCGGCAAGTCTAATTGAATCATCCTGCCAGCAGCGCCAAATGTGACCGAGTCTAGTTGCATCTTCTGCTCGACAACGCCAAATGTAACCAGTCTATTTGCTTGTAGTGCCAAATGTTAACGAGTGTATTTACTCAGTCTACACAACATCGACCACAATATAGATACTCGAAGATGCAGGTTTACCATTGATCCTTTTATTACATGAATCAAAAAGAAATGCTTCACAATAATATAATGAATCAACTGACCCCCAACCGTCCTCACTAGTCTTCACATAACCGAATGCACATGTCTATCGTCCCTATTAACACAATACGTCTACACCGTTCAATAACCAACTTGATACTGCCACACTTCTACTCCTTGACTGACTGACTGACTCCCTCGTTCTCAGCCGTCGCCTTCCTATATATCCCTTCGTATCCGTAATCGGATTCGTAATCGGATTCGTACTCGTATTCGTACTCGTATTCTAATCGTTGCATCAGAATGTTAATTACGCCGCTTCTGTCATACAGTCCGATTAATAAGCCATCTGCACTGTTACGTCAGCCTGTGAACTGCGCAGCGGCTTTGTGATCGTTATCAGCCTAACACCTGCACTATTGCGTTGTTATCGTCTCTGGTAACTACACCTAGTTACATAAATATTTGAGAGTTATCTAAATATTTGAGAGTTATCTAAATATCTGAGAGTTATCTAAATATCTGAGAGTTATCTAAATATCTGAGAGTTATCTAAATATTTGAGAGTTATCTAAATATTTAAGAGTTATCTAAATACTTGAGAGTTATCTAAATACTTGAGAGTTATCTAAATATCTGAGAGTTATCTAAATATTTGAGAGTTATCTAAATATCTGAGAGTTATCTAAATATTTGAGAGTTATCTAAATATTTGAGAGTTATCTAAATATTTGAGAGTTATCTAAATATTTGAGAGTTATCTAAATATTTGAGAGTTATCTAAATATTTGAGAGTTATCTAAATATTTGAGAGTTACCTAAATATTTGAGAGTTATCTAAATATTTGAGAGTTATCTAAATATTTGAGAGTTATCTAAATATTTGAGTTATCTAAATATTTGAGAGTTATCTACATATTTGAGTTATCTGAATATTTGAGAGTTATCTAAATATTTGAGAGTTATCTAAATATTTGAGAGTTATTCAAAATGTCGAGTAATCTTTGAGTGTGAGGAGGGCGTGTATAAGATGACGTGTGAAAAGTTGTACCGACTGCTGATGTTATAAGATGACGTGTGAAAAGGTGTACCGACTGCTGATGTTATAAGATGACGTGTGAATAGTTGTACCGACTGCTGATGTTATAAGTTGACGTGTGAAAAGTTGTACCGACTGCTGATGTTATAAGTTGACGTGTGAAAAGTTGTACCGACTGCTGATGTTATAAGTTGACGTGTGAAAAGTTGTACCGACTGCTGATGTTATAAGATGACATGTGAATAGTTGTACCGACTGATGTTTGAGTTGGCGGCCGTGCTGTAAGTCACGTGATGGAGTCATCAACTCTCTAGCACTTGGTTTCACCTCATGACGTCATCCAGTTCACTTTTTAATGGCGCGGAACGTAAACAACCCCCCCCCCCCCTAGAGCTTCTTGAATTTCGATCACATCTTAATTGAATCCAGATATTGCGTCATGGAAACAAATTAGTTTGGACAAAAAAATATAAAATGTCCTTAAAAATAAATTAAACTACGTTCAAAATGTACTCAGTTGAAAATGAATGTAGCATCAGCTAAAAATAAATGACACTCACCCCAACTTCCCCCCCCTAACCCCCCCCCCCCCCCCATTTTCCACTGTGTGAGGACGGTATCAACGCTCACCTGACCGAGTTTATGTTGGGGTGAGTACTGCAACATGCCCCCCCCCCCCCCCCCCGCCCCACAAGACACGCACGTCTTTTCGTGAGCGGGTTCAGTGATGCGTGTAATGAGGATATAATAAGCCATGTTCCGCCTGAATCCACTCACCCAAACTGGCCCTGAGCTAGGTAGACCAAAGAAAATCTGGCTAAAGAAAGGTGGTTCATAGTCTCATCTAAACATACAGAGTGTTCTTAAATTGAGCAATACTGGCACTCCACTGGGCCACACTCCACTGGGCCACACTTCAATGGACCACATTCCACTGGACCACTGGGCCACACTCCACTGGGCCACACTTCACTGGGCCACATTCCACTGGGCCACTGGGCCACTGGGCCACACTTCACTGGGCCACACTTCACTGGGCCACATTCCACTGGGCCACTGGGCCACACTCCACTGGGCCACACTCCACTGGGCCACACTCCACTGGGCCACACTCCACTGGGACACACTCCATTGGGCCACTGGGCCACATTCCACTGGGCCACTGGGCCACGCTCCACTGGGCCACACTCCACTGGGCCACACTCCACTGGGCCACACTCTACTGGGCCACTCGGCCACACTCCACTGGGCCACATTCCACTGGGCCACTGGGCCACACTCCACTGGGCCACTGGGCCACACTCCACTGGGCCACACTCCACTGGGCCACACTCCACTGGGCCACACTCCACTGGGCCACACTCCACTGGGCCACACTCCACTGGGCCACACTCCACTGGGCCACACTCCACTGGGCCAAATTCCACTGGGCCACACTCCACTGGGCCACTCGGCCACACTCCACTGGGCCACATTCCACTGGGCCACTGGGCCACACTCCACTGGGCCACACTCCACTGGGCCACACTCCACTGGGCCACACTCCACTGAGCCACACTCCACTGGGCCACACTCCACTGGGCCACACTCCACTGGGCCACACTCCACTGGGCCACACTCCACTGGGCAAAATTCCACTGGGCCACAATCCACTGGGCCACACTCCACTGGGCCACACTCCACTGGGCCACACTCCACTGGGCCACTGGGCCACACTCTACTGGGCCACACTCCACTGGGCCACACTCCATTGGGCCACATTCCACTGGGCCACTGGGCCACACTCCACTGGGCCACTGGGCCACAATCCACTGTGCCACACTCCACTGGGCCACACTCCACTGGGCCACACTCCACTGGGCCACACTCCACTGGGCCACACTCCACTGGGCCACACTCCACTGGGCCACTGGGCCACACTCCACTGGGCCACACTCCACTGGGCCACACTCCACTGGGTCACACTCCACTGGGCAACTGGGCCACACTCCACTGGGCCACACTCCACTGGGCCACACTCCACTGGGCCACTGGGCCACACTCCACTGGGCCACATTCCACTGGGCCACATTCCACTGGGCCACACTCTACTGGGCCACACTCCACTGGGCCACACTCTACTGGGCCACACTCTACTGGGCCACACTCCACTGGGCCACACTCCACTGGGCCACACTCCACTGGGCCACACTCCACTGGGCCACATTCCACTGGGCAACTGGGCCACACTCCACTGGGCCACATTCCAGTGGGCCACACTCCACTGGGCCACACTCCTCTGGGCCACACTCCACTGGGCCACACTCCACTGGGCAACTGGGCCACACTCCACTGGGCCACATTCCACTGGGCCACACTCCACTGGGCCACACTCCACTGGGCCACACTCCACTGGGCCTTTGGGCCACATTCCACTGGGCCACACTCTACTGGGCCACACTCCACTGGGCAACTGGGCCACACTCCACTGGGCAACTGGGCCACACTCCACTGGGCCACATTCCACTGGGCCACACCCCACTGGGCCACAATCCACTGGGCCACACTCCACTGGGCCACATTCCACTGGGCCACACTCCACTGGGCCACACTCCACTGGGCCACATTCCACTGGGCCACACTCCACTGGGCCACACTCCACTGGGCCACACTCCACTGGGCCACATTCCACTGGGCCACACTCCACTGGGCCACACTCCACTGGGCAACTGGGCCACACTCCACTGGGCCACACTCCACTGGGCCACACTCCACTGGGCCACACTCCACTGGGCCACACTCCACTGGGCCACACTCCACTGGGCCACACTCCACTGGGCCACACTCCACTGGGCCACTGGGCCACTGGGCCACACTCCACTGGGCCACACTCCACTGGGCCACTGGGCCACTGGGCCACACTCCACTTAGCCACTGGGCCACTGGGCCACTGGGCCACTGGGCCACTGGGCCACTGGGCCACTGGGCCACTGGGCCACACTCCACTGGGCCACACTCCACTGGGCCACTGGGCCACACTCCACTAGGCCACACTCCACTGGGCCACTGGGCCACACTCCACTGGGCCACACTCCACTGGGCCACTGGGCCACTGGGCGGGCAGACAGTTTCTGCTGACATCAGCAAGATTGGGACCGCAGCCAAACCTTGATGGAAACCTTGGGGGGGCGTCTCCATTATCCAGGAACGATAACTCGGCGCCGCACAAATCAAAGGGAAGTCATCAAGACAAAAGCCATTCACACTGATCAGATTAAACGCCCGCTGGTAGGTCAAACATCAAGACAAAATTTTGTCTAGAACTTTCTGCTCGGGCTGGGTGCGTCAATTTAGCTTTCCCTGTCATGGCGGCCTTGAACTTGATGGTTGAGTTTAACCGTGATTTAGGTACTTGATGGCAAACAGGGTGACCCAGGTGACCCAGGGTGACCCAGGGTGACCCAGGTGACCCAGCCAGTCAACATTTGGTCCATCTGGGCCGTCATTGTGTGGGGTATGTACGTCTTCAATGATTGTGTGGGTTATGTACGTCTGCCATGATTGTGTGGGGTATGTACGTCTGCCATGATTGTGTGAGCTGTATACGTCTTTCAATGATCGCGTGAACGATGTACCAATCATACCACCTATAATGACGTTACGGCCATAGTTTTTTTTTACTTTCCCCAAATCTCTCTTATATTTTAGCATCCTCGCCATTTGTCCTGGGTAATCCATCTTGTCCTGGGTCAGCCATTGCTTCCTTTTCACTCCGCAGTTCCATTCTAAGACCTGTCTGCCTCTGGTGTCAAACAAAGGTGAACCTATGCCCCAGACAAAGGTGAACCTATGCCCCAGACAAAGGTGAACCTATGCCCCAGACAAAGGTGAACCTATGCCCCAGACAAAGGTGAACCTATGCCCCAGACAAAGGTGAACCTATGCCCCAGACAAAGGTGAACCTATGCCCCAGACAAAGGTGAACCTATGCCCCAATGATGAACCTACCTTTACGTCATTCCTTATGATGAACGGTACCACTTGCTGTGTTAAGCTTATTTGGTTTAAAAGGTGAGTTACTTCCCCTGGTGGTTGTGTGAGTTACTTCCCCTGGTGGTTGTGTGAGTTACTTCCCCTGGTGGTTGTGTGAGTTACTTCCCCTGGTGGTTGTGTGAGTTACTTCCCCTGGTGGTTGTGTGAGTTACTTCCCCTGGTGGTTGTGTGAGTTACTTCCCCTGATGGTTGTGTGAGTTACTTCCCCTGGTGGTTGTGTGAGTTACTTCCCCTGGTGGTTGTGTGAGTTACTTCCCCTGGTGGTTGTGTGAGTTACTTCCCCTGGTGGTTGTGTGAGTTACTTCCCCTGGTAATTGTGTGAGTTACTTCCCCTGGTGGTTGTGTGAGTTACTTCCCTTGGTGGTTGTGTGAGTTACTTCCCCTGGTGGTTGTGTGAGTTACTTCCCCTGGTGGTTGTGTGAGTTACTTCCCCTGGGGGTTGTGTGAGTTACTTCCCCTGGTGGTTGTGTGAGTTACTTCCCCTGGTGGTTGTGTGAGTTACTTCCCCTGGTGGTTGTGTGAGTTACTTCCCCTGGTTGTGTGAGTTACTTCCCCTGGTTGTGTGAGTTACTTCCCCTGGTTGTGTGTTACTTTACATGTGGATTGATGAAATATTTGAACTTGAAAAGTACCGGCTAGTCCATATACATTACCGGCAATTCGTTCGAATGCCGGCTTGTAGAGGACATCCTGATATATTCTTGTAGGTCCTGTAGAGGTCCTTAGATTGGCCATAAAATATATTCTTGTAGGTCCTGTAAAGGTCCTTAGATTGACCATAAAATAAATTCTGTAGAGGTCCTGTAGAGGTCCTAATCAGTGAATTTTGTCTGTGGTCAGTGTGTGCACAGTGTTGGGGGGGGGGGCAGTGTCCGGCTCGCAACAAACGTGGACGTACAAGACTGTAGAGCCACAGGGGGGGGGGGGGGTAAAAAGATTTTTTTTAAAGAGATCAAAGTGTCACTCAATCAATCAATCGAGGAATCAGCCGCGGACTGGTATCGATGTGACCCAATCAATGAGTGACCCAGTCAGCCAGTCACCCAGTCAGCGTGGCGTGGCGAGTGCTGGAACTCTGGCCTTAAGATTCTCTTTCATGTGGACGTCTGCTGCTTTTCCGGTCGTTTGAAGAAACAAATATTTTAGTTTTATTCCCGTGGGAGGGGGAGGAGGGTGGTGATGGTGGGGGGAGGGGGGGGGGGGGGGTAAAATACCTTTTCTAAAAATAGAAAGTCAGATCATAGAATACATGGACTGGGTTAAAGGTTAGGTTCGTGATGGGCCCTCATATGGTCTGCTGGACAGGGATTATCTCAGTTCAGTGGCAGAGAGTGACGTCATTAACCGGGGAACTAGTCGAGCGGGTCGGCGGGGTGGGGTGGTGGGGGGGGGGGGCAGTCTTTTAGCTCGTAAAGGTGGGGTCAATCGGTACACGTGGGGATGGGGGTGGTTGACAGGGTGGGGAGTGGACAGTGCAATGATTAGTGGGGCCGTGCTACGGATATCCGAATGATTGTAGGAAAAAAAGTCACAGGGAAAAAAAAACAGAAAAAAAAACAGAAAAAAAACAGGAAAAAAAACAGAAAAAAAACAGGAAAAAAAAACAGGAAAAAAAGTTACAGGAAAAAAAAACACAGGAAAAAAAAACAGGAAAAAAACACAGGGAAAAAAAACAGGAAAAAAAGTCACAGGAAAAAAAAACAGGAAAAAAAAACACAGGAAAAAAAAAACAGAAAAAAGTCACAGGAAAAAAACACAGGAAAAAAACACAGGAAAAAAAACACAGAAAAAACACAGGAAAAAAACACAGGAAAAAAAAAACACAGGAAAAAAAACAGAAAAAGTCACAAGAAAAAAAAAACAGGAAAAAAACACAGAAAAAATAAACACAGAAAAAAAGTCACAGGAAAAAAAACACAGGAAAAAAAACGGAAAAAAAAAACACAGAAAAAAATTACAGGAAAAAAGTCACAAGAAAAAAAGTCACAGGAAAAAAAGTCACAAATATATATTTGCATGGAATGTGTTAATACTTTTATAAATTATATATTCAGAGAGTGCAAAATTAACTTAGGATTAATTAAATGTAATGTAATGTGTGTAGGCTGTATACGCATAGTAATTTTTATAATTCATCTAAAAATATTTAATATGAATTATGTAGATTGTAATTATGTTAAACATAATATTTATAACATTTAATAGAATGTCGATGGTTTTCATCGTGTTTTCTTTTTTTTAAAATTAAATTACCGTGAAATGGTAAGGTCATCTGACTTACTGCCCTCAATTCATCGCAATAATAGTTATGCTTAGTTCAACCACCTTTACTGCCCACATTTATCACGCTCATTACATAACAAAACTTAGAATCAAAACAGAAAGCCGACAAGGTTCAAAGGCTGTCATTGACACAAAACGTCTACAACACAAAATATGTTCAGACAATGCCTACTGAGGTGAGGCCGACCAGAGTATAGCCTACGGCAAAACATGCAAAACACAATGATGTGCCTAAATTTCTTATATAGTTAACTTTTCTACCGCGTATTTAACTAAACACGTAACAAAAGTTGAGATTGTTGTGTAAATTATCTTAGAGTATTTTTACTTACAATTTTATAAACCATAATGCTTTTAACGTCTATAAATAATTTATGCTATTAAAAAATACAATCCACAACAATAAACACACACAATTTTACAATTATTAACAAATAAATCAAAATATTTCTAAAAAGATTTTCGTGACTTTTTTCTGTGACTTTTTTCCGTTCACCTATCTGTATTAGGGGAGGCAGAAACAATTGCGTTTTTGAAAGACTTAAGGAGACAGGTGAGGTACACTCAGGTGGAATAAAACAAGTGCAGCGGTCCAACAAAAGACAGTGACGTAATGTAGGCAGCAAATGGACGGTCCTACCACACGTTCACCAACCTGCACCATACACCACTACATCAACCATACAATCAATCACCAACACCTTTCCACCACCCCTACATTAACCACCGTTACCCACCCCATTGACCACCCCCACCCCACGCCATCACCAACCACTTACGTCACCCACACCACCTGGGGACGTCTTATAATTTATTCATGCCACGTGATCTCACGGAGACGGATGTACATGACCTTGACCTTGAACCAGACCACGAAACGCCGCTCCCAGACACTTAAACATGCACAGACCAATCTGGAAAGCCAACCCTAACCAACCCTGCCAACCCTGACCAACCCTAGCCAGCCTGTGACCCCAGGAACTGAGTGGAGCAGTTCATCAAGCATTAATGAGGCACCAATCAGGTCCGGATATATCACAGACGGTTCCAGGATAAATGCGCTAGGGAACATTAACAACGGATAAATGTGCAAACAAAAATGTGTTAAGAGAAAAGTGCACACAGGACATTGCGCAAAAAAATGCGTACACAAAAAAATGCACAAAGAGAAAAGTGCGCACATTAAAAAATGCGGAAACAGAAATTAGCGCTCACAGAAGCGTGCGCAAACAGAAAAATACGCACCCAGAATAGTGTGCGGAAAGAGAAAATTGCGCACAAAGAAATATGAACTCATAGAAAGATGCACAAAGAGACATTTTCGCACACAGAAAAATGCGCAAATAAAAAATTGCGCACACAGAAATGTAGACACATATTATGGCGTGTTTGAGTTGGTATATATAATTATGTCGTTCCATGTCTGTAATAGAATAATAATGGTGCCTCAATTATTTAAAGGCACAGAAGCATACATAGATTTTCCGACTATAGGTGTCTTTAATATGTCATGTACATTTGTGTTTTTAATATGTCATGTACATCTTTGTTTCATTTATTACTTGAGTTACGGCAAGTTTTGAAAATTCGAAATGACAGAAAGTTCGGTGATGGCATCTGGGTACAAAAAATGTCTGAATGTCATAGCACATTAATGTAAGAATGTGATTTGAACAATAAATGTCAGGATATCATAGCACATTAATGTAAGAATGTGATTTGAACAATAAATGTCAGGATATTATAGCACATTAATGTAAGAATGTGATTTGAACAACGAATGTCAAAAGAAATTTGACCGAATCGGTGTAATGACATACACATATTAAATGTATG